GTAGAATATATATGCATTAAATATTAAATTTAAAATTAATTATTTATTAATTAATTTTTCCTCCCTCCCAGAATTTGACCAAAAAATCAGATTCTGCTTTAGCAGGAATTTTTTTATTTTAAAAAGTTGCTTACATATACAGCTGAATGAAGATGTTCTACCACTCTGTACCTAGCGCCATAACAGGAGGTGTGCTTCTTTTGTTCTAGATAAACATACCTACATATTTTTCTCAGCTACAAACCTGCCACAAAGATGTTTGTGTGTTACGTTTCCTTTGGAGTAGAGGAAAGTTATTTACCTCTTCCTTTGATTTTTCTTTCTCCTTATTTCCTTTTCGCTCCAGTCTGCGAGAAGACATGAAACAATTACAACAAATAATAAATACAGCTGCTATCGGTCAGGTAAACATAAAATATTGCCATTCTGGAACTTGCCTATTCTGGTCAAAGAATTCAATGGATAAGCTTATTATCTCGTCGTCTGTTATAATTCTTTTGTCTTCGTCAGCCACTTCTCCCCTGTCTTCATTAGAGCCATTGGCAGCTGCGCAGAAATTTCCACAATAATTTACATTTTGAAATTCAAATCAGGAAGAATGGCAATTCTCAGTAACAAGAAAAAAAAAGTCTCCATAGTAAGATTATGAATTAAAGCTACCTAACTGTTAAACCAATAAACTTTTGTTATGCTGAATTTACTTCTTAAAATTCTGTCACGGTAGTATGTAATTTGTAAGTTTAAAAGGAAAGAGCAAAGCATCTAGGTACATGCTACATTTATTAAAGTTGTGAACGAGAAGCTTTTACCATCAGCCGACGGATGAGCAGCATAAAAATCCCTTCTTCTTTTCATTTCATCTAGGTGGAAAAGCATATATTTTTTAGTATTTACTCTGTAACTCGTGGTATTGATACAGGATAGCAGCTCTGGTTTTGGTTTTCTGCTCTTAAGAAGAACCCCGATTTAACTACTTACTTTTGAAAAGGCCTGGTACTAGCTTGTAGACAATATCTTGGAGAGTTTTATCTGACCTGAAAAAAGAACAAGCCCAAAAAATAACATTAAGGGGAGGAAGCGGTATTTTAAGCCGAGCGGGAGCTCTTCATTTATAAACTTTCACAACAATGAGGTGTCTTCTACAAGGTGGGAGGCTGCTCATAAAAAGTTAACTTACAGGACCTTGTAATCAAACTAACACAGCTCTCGGTAGCGCTCTAAAACAAAACTCATCCGTGCTACCACAACTGAAAAATAATTCTCTGGGGCTGAAGGAAGGCCTTAAAAATTACATGTCCACCCCAGAAAATAAAGGGAGCAAAGAGTAACGCTGGCAAGAAAAATATTTCTGAAAGGAGAAGCATGCTTTAAAGGCTTTTGGCTTCAAACTTGGCAAGTTTCAGCAAGAGTTTTCATGGTTGGGAGAAATAGAAAGTGGAGATAAAAACTGTCGGGACAGTATACATGAGAATGGGGGAGAGGGAAGAGGCACTGCATCAACGGCTGGCATATGCAAAAACAGACCAACAAAAACTTTCTGCCTCGCATCCAGAGAAATCTTCAATTTCCATCAATGACAAAACTCCAAAGAGAGAGCGTACACACGAGTTAGCTTGTAAAGTGACAAGTCTTTCAGATTTAAATCGCGGGCGAAGAGATAACATCGACACGGCTACCGCTGGTCTCCCCGTGTAAAGCGAAGGAAGAGATGCAGGGCGGGCGCTGCCTCGTGCTCCTTCCTACCTTATATTCAAAAGCGGTCGCGTTTTGTGAACTTGGACATCGCAGATAGGGCAATACTTGCTGGTCTCCAAGTAACGCACGATACAGGTCTTACAGACTGTAAGTCAAACACGAAAGGCTTTTAGTGCTGCTCGGAGGTGACGCTCAGATATGCACAGACCGAGGTGCGATTTTCTAAACTATGCAAGCTACAGCAAATCGTCCATTGTCAGCGGCGCGCTGCTTAAGCTAAACAAATACCCAAATAAGCTGCAATTACCATGAAAAGGAGACGCTCAGAGTACATATATTATTACTTTAACAA